ACATTCTTTTTTCTCAAAGCCCACTTGAACTAAAATTATAAAGTGGGTTCTCTATTGGATTTGTTAATCTGTTTGTAACCCCTATATTGGTAAATAAATGAAAATAAAATAAATGAATAAACGTACTATTGCTGGAAATTTCACCATGATTTTTGGTGTGAACATTGACGGGGTAGGAGAAGTTAATGATGAAATTCAACTTTACCTACGAGCAACTTGTCATGAACTGGTTTGGGACTTTCCTAATCTGATCTTTTTCTTCCCATCATACTAGGTAGGTAGGTTAAAAGTGAGTAAATTTCTTCCACTGTGTTCCGCGAGGTTTCAATGTGGCTCGAGTTGGTGAACACTACAAGAACGTCTGAATTAATCAGCTTCACTTACCAAATGAAAATCCCAGTTTCCATTGAATAGAGCAGGGCCAAAAGTTCTAGCCGGATTCATATGTGCACCTGAGTAAGGTCCCTGTGAACATAAAAACATTTAGTAAACAGCGCTGATGGAGAGAAAATAAAATGAACGAGAAAAACTTTTTTGTCAATGAGTTTTCAGATCCCTGTTCGGAAATATTGCTATCTGGAAGAATTGTATTGCTGAGGCGAATTCAATTTCATCAAACTTGCATGTACATACAATGTAGATTCAGAACTTTTCGATGATTCTTCTTTGGAATCATTTGAAAAGACTGTAAAAAATTTGTAATTGATTGGCTTTTTTTATTTTTTCTTTCTCTACATCTTGCTGATAGCTATAAATTATTAGATATGGTACATACAGGGCATTTCTTTAATGTCCCCCCCCTTTTATTTTTTGAATGGGTCAAATCAAAAAATTTAAATTTGGGATACTGAAATTAATGCATGAAATAGACAGATGAAACTTTTAAGATGGCGACTGGGTGCCATCTGCGACAGAAAATTAAAAAAAGGGGGTCTTGTGACATATCATCTTGAAGCTCCTGACAAATATTTCACTATTCTAGAATATGGAGTCAATATCTTCATCTACTACAAAATGGCGGAACATTTAAAAATTTCATGAAGAGAAACACATTAATATCGATATTTCTATAAATATTCCTTTTTATCTGCCATATGGTAATTTCAACAACCCGATACAGCTTCTTAAGTTATTTTTTGTTTATAAAAACGACAAAAAATGTCAGTATGACAATGAACATAATTGTTCAGTTACAATATTCTCATTTAGTTCTCGATTTTACTAGTAAAAAGGTACCACGTCAATAATCTCTAAAATGGTCAATTCCATTGGAAGAAAAAATTGAAGCGATTTTCATTTACGGTGAGACGCGTAACTTTCACGAGACCGAAAGGATTTTTAATGAACGTTTTCCGAATTCTTCTATCTGTAGAAAATATTTGAAGAAACTTGTATCCAAATTCACATCTACCGGTTGTGTACATAACAAAAAGCCACCAGGTCATCCGTCCATTCCGAAAAAACAGCAAGTGCAAATAATTGGTGAGATGCTAGTAAATCCTGAACAGTCTACTTATTCCGTCTCTAGTGTTTGAGAGGTGTCTCCTTCTACTGTGTGGAGACTTTTGAAGAGGAATAGGTATCATCCATACAAAATTAAAATGGTACACCAATTAACTGAAGATGACCTTGATCGAAGAACAGAATTCTGCGAAATCATGACGGAAACCATTGTAAGGAATCCTAACTATCTTCATAATATTTGTTTTAGTGACGAATGTACATCTTTTTCGTACGGCAATGTTCACAGATAAAATTGCCGTTATTGGCACGTTTTCTGGGAAACACATATCCAATTTACAGCGTGACTCACGGTCGATGGTAGGTTAGACGTTTCTGGAAAACGCAAATCATGATTTTTCTGAAAATTTCACTTCTCAGATTTTCTTACCTGTTCTATCGATCTGAAATATTTTCAGCATTGCGGCGTTGCCACGTCCATCAAAAAGTCCTAGCAACTTTATTTTTTAAATGGAACACCCCGTATATTAATACACTTTTGGAATCGCTCTGGTATTTTAATACTTTTTTGTTAATAATGTCCTATACCCCTATCTCTTTCTGTTTTCGAGATAAAAAATAAATTGTGTTAAATATGGTCCAAAACATAGCCTTAATTGAAATTAAGTACATCAGTACTCTCAATTCATGAAAAGTTGATATTTTGATGATAGTTTGGACAAACTCGAAATATTCGAATAACACCAAGAAATCGACTCCATATCAAACAGGTCGTGCTAAAATTACTATTATTTCCATTGTGCATAAAAGNCGTGCAAAGCTTATTGTTTAATCATCTGAAAATTGAATTTTCAACAGATGATGATCGACTGTATTGCCAAACATGCGCCAAACTAACTGCCTGTTATAAGGAAACAAGTATAGCAGAGGCACCAGTCAATCTAATAATAACACTGATGATCTTCAAACAAGACTCAACTTCTAGCGGAAGCAAGAAACTCTTTGGAAGGTTCTAAATAGATGAACATTTCAATCTAGCACACCACTATTATAATATTCATGCAGTCATTGTTCACTGAGGTTCTGGCGTTGAATTTGGTCATTATTACGCCTTGGTCAAAGACGAAACGGACTGGTTTAAGTTTGACGATAGTCGTGTCACGAAGTGTTCTGGCGAAGCATTGAATCTATTGGAGCTTCTGGAGACACCCTACATCTTGTTTTATGAGAGAGAGGACATTGGTAGATCAAGATCTTCAGATGATGTGGTGCTGCAGGTTTTTCCGGGTTTTCGTGCAGTTGAAAAAGCAACTGCGCCACTGGAATCAATGCTGTTGTTTTTATTTTCATCGTTGTTTTATAATTTCACAAATTTCATTATTCCAAATTTCAATTTTTAGTTGACCCGTGCCAAATATAAAAGGGGGCGGACATTAAAGAAATGCACTGTATATCGTCGTAATACAAAAGTAAGGTCATTTTATTGCAATATTTACTTTTAGGTACGACTCTATAAAAACTGGGTTCATACAGTGCAATTATTATACTTGTATGAAAACTTCATGAATGAAAACTCACATGAGGGTCTATAATGAATGACGAGTCATTAGATAACAATAATATCATACCCCAGCCAAGGCTAATCCAGTGACAGTTAATCCTAAACGAAGAGGTACTGAATCCTTGGATCCGTTATTTCTACTGTCCCATACGCCGCAACAGGCCCATGCCAAAATGAATGTCAAAATAAATTCGACCAGAACCACCTGAAATGACGATAAATTTCCATTTGGACTGGCAGAACACAAGCCTATGGTCGAGTTTGGAAATTTGAGCAGGTGACTTGGTGTAACTGCCTACAAAATGTTTTCAAATATTAATTTCGTACATATAGAAAATAACGATTATTTAGTATTATACCTTTTTATTAGTGTTCAATTAATGTGTTTTATGAGCGAATTGTAATGATAATGATAATACTAATGCTAAATCTTTAATTTCATTCAGATCAAACACATGATATTGAAAGAGACATATAAAAGACAGCTGAAAATCATATATACGAGGTATATTCAAACAATAACGTGACTTCATTTGTCTCAAAACATCATTTATTTATTCATCAATTCCTACTTTGACCCCTTCAGTAGACCCCCTCCTACTTGTACCCGTGGAAAACTTGTATAATCGAAGTAAACGATATTGTGCATTCTTAAAGTTGGCGGCACTCTCAAAGGCCAAAAAAACCAAATACATGGGAATGAATCGGCTGCGAACTAGTCCACGTGAACTGTAGAATTGGCGGTTCGTATTGGATACTTTTTACTAACCGAGTTTTATGATTGGCTGAAGAGTCATAAAATTGAATTTGAAGCCATGTTACGGTGGCGAATAGAAATCGGTGAATGCGGGGATGGCTATCGCCGTCGTGTCATCAATGTTCAGTTCAGGAACTGATCGCGATTTGAGTGTCGAAATTCGATATTGGTGCAGTTGTAATTTCTTGAAATGTTTTTTATGTGTTCGAAATGTGGCGTTCTTGGACAAGTACTAATAGTAAGAACGAGTGTGATAAAAACGCAGACTTTTTCCAGTGTAGTGATTCCAATAGCGATGGTGAATAATGCGAAAAAGAGATACCAGTGAATAAGATTAGAATGCATTTGAATATTGTAACACAGAGAGTAGGTTTCACAGTAAACAGGGCTTTTCATGATGAGCGTTAATTAGCCGTTTCTGGCAAACTATTCAACGGATCAATCTGAAAATTCCATAGTCTGCATAAATTAATATGACCTACACGCCTAAAATATTT